CGTTTCCATTAAATAAGTAGTGAAATTAAAACTCTGCGTGAATAAGCTTGTTCAGGAGATATATTCATAATTCAGTCATGATGTTAGCAAGACTGAATTATCAGAGACGTCAGCATCTCATTCAGGCGTTTGCACAACAAGCCCCTTATACTTGGGAGCGGCTACGTGTGCGGCATTTTGGGGGAAATTATAGCTTGCCATTTTACAGAAAAGCTATGGATTCAACATGTTGGAATAACAAAACTTTTTATGACCTGTGAACAGTTACATTGTCTGAAAAACCACCCAAAACAAACCACTCCTACTACCACTTCTTTGTCATTTCTGCCACTAGTAATATTTGGTTGTTGCTCACGTGACTCATGATGTGAAAAAGTGTTTCCATTGCAGTTTTGCAAAATACATCTATTTGAAAAACTCGTAGTGCAAAAGACTTTCCATCGACTTTTCATTGCATTAAGATTGGAATGTCAAAGGTGTGTGTGAAGGCAAACGATCCAACACATTTACACACAAAACACCAGAAGCAATAAATCACACAAATTAATTTTTAACAGCAGATTTTAAAATAAATTTTATTAAAATAAAATAGTTGCTTATTGACATTACCTGTGAAGTAAAATAAAAACATGAATTTTCTTCACCTTGAATTGTTCTTTTGACCTGCTGTTCCACACAATGTTTTGTTAAAGGAAAAATAAAATTTACATTTTTAGTCCAAACATCTATTAATCCAAAAAAAAAAAAAAAAAAATAACTTTGGTTGTAGTTAATCTTATAATGCATTTTCTAAATCAAATACACACAAATGTAAGAAAAGAATTAAAACGACAAACCACGTCGAACCCTTCCACATCAAGAAACGCCTTGTAGAATAAATTCATAAAATGATTTCCTAAAGAAAAAAGCAGCCATTTGAAGCTAAAGTAAGGGTTCCATTTGTTTTTGATCTTTTATGGCTTTTTTCTGTTTTAAATCGTTTAATTTCTGGTTTCTGAAAAGAGAAAGGAAATGAAAACAAAATATTTTCATAAAATGCTTTTAATTGACGGCGTTACATTACAAAACTAAAACACGGAAATGTGAGACCAAAACTCAGATGAGCATTAAAGTCACTTAAATGTCAATCAGTGTAGCTGAATCAAACTGCATCCAGTCAAGAAAACATCTTTCTGCTCGACCACACTCCGGCTTCTAGAGTGGGAAACTTGCTTATGACAAGCAGTAAAAAATAAAACTTAAAAAAAGAAGGAAAAAACAAAACAAAACAGCCCATTCATTATAAGGCACCTCTTTCCGAACTTCAAAATACTGCAGCAGCAACAGTGCAAAAAAAAAAAAAAAAAAAAAAAAAAAAAAAACCCCAATACACCTTCTTTTCACCTAAAAAC